TAGAATTACACTCAAAACCAGACTTGTACCCAGACTGGGTGCATCGTAATGATCCTGAAACATGCTGACACCCCTGAAGCATTCGTAAATGAATGTTGAAGTTGATGCTACATGCTTTGTTTGAGTATTAAATTTTATTTTTATTTTCCCGTCACAAACTCTGCTGCAACACCAAAATAGTTGTATCTTTGTTTTAATTCTGACATCCTTGGCAGATTAATAAAAATCTATGTATTCTCAGAATGTTCTATGAGAATTAAATAGATACTATCAGTTCATATAAATAATATAATAAACAACTTTGTCTAAACATCAATAGATATTCCAAAATCAGTCTGTTGTTTACACTTGTTTAATATATCTGATATTGTGTAGCAGTTATTTCCATGAAGGCCATTTTGACAAATCTTTCAAATCTAAAAGTTCCCTCCCTGGTTTCAAATGATCTTATCTTTAACACTGACATAAGATTGTCTGAATACATTATATTCACAAGGAAATTACATTTTATTTTATAGATAAGAAAGTCTCCCCATGCAACAGAAAAGATGGTAGCACATTTGATGATGAAGATAAGAGTGATAGTGAAGACCAGCAGGCAAAGGAGAAACAATCAGTTCACAGGCATGATGAGCTTCATCATAAACTGAAAGAAGTGGAAAGCAAAAAACAAGATTGTGAAAACAGAAAACAACCTGTTATTGTTATGCCGATAATAATTGATCCTTGTAATTCAGATGTTGACTTGCATGGTATACATTCTGAGATGCTGACAGATGAAGGAATTAACAGAAAGATAATATCTATAAATCAGAAATCAGACATAGAGCATCAGAGCTCATCAGAGGATAATGAACAAAATGATATCGAATCAGATTCAGTATTACCATCTATACGACAAATCAGTCTTGAAACGTGTGACAATTCTGTTGTACAAAGAGATAAAGAGGATTGCCGGACTAGTAATCGAATCACCCATGCATGTAGAACATGTAGAATAAAGTTTGGTTGTATTATGAAGTTGAAAAGACATGAGGCTATGCATGAATACAGTACACTTATACACTGTTTACATTGCAGCACAGTCTTCCGTAATCAAAAACTATTACAGAAGCATGTTAGCCATGCACATTCTAAAAAGAAACATGAAATATATCATTGCCGTTCCCGTAGCCATGTGTCATTCTCACAAAATGCACTTAAGCAACACCAAGAGTTGGACCACCTTGAAGGACGATCATTTAAGTGTACTTATGAAAAATGTACTTCTGCTTTTGCAGTTAAATTTGACCTGATACATCATATAGCTGTGGTGCATGATATCAGTAAACATAAATATAAATGTGAGTTTTGTGAAAGAACTTTCTTGCACAAGACCAAATATGAAATCCATCGATATTCGCATGACAAATCACTAAGTCCACATATGTGCAATAACTGCAACAAACGATTCAGTACGGCAGATGCGTTACAAGGACACATCGCGAGTAAGCATGAGAATAATCGTCCTTTTAAATGCAAACACTGTAATAAAGCATATGCCAAGAAGTATGCATTGTTACAGCATGCTAGAAGACATACAGGTACAGTATTACATGTTTAATAGCGCCCTCACACAGCACAGGTCATTCAGTAGCGCTCTGAAGTGTTTTATTATGTTTGTATTCCTGGGAAACTAGATAAAGTTGATCCCGAACACTATATATATTGATATATTGCTTAACATGGGATTGTTTGAGAACGCGACTTGAACTGTTAGGTGATTCTGTTAATTGTTGAGGGGCCTCAACATGTAAAATATACATCATTTTCTCAATTTCTGACAACAGACTCTATGATGTCATACTTTACCCATAATCCTTTGCTGAAAAATCAAGATGGCGGTCTACATAAATTGATGAAAAATTGAATATCTAGAGAATGAGAAGTGATATAAAAAAACTGTAAATTGCATGTCCTTACATTTGCCGAGCTCTTCCATCGAGGAGTATTATGTTGTTAGCCTTGACTTTCACTTTAAAGCACTGCATGCAAATGTGTTTAACATCAGGTGCTAGGCACACATGCAAATTTTGAAATATGACTAATGAAAGATGTGTGAGAAACTAATTTTTCAAAATTCCGCAAACAACATAAAAAAATTATAGTCGTCTGCAGTTGGGCATAAACGTACAATACTAATCAGGAATTATGTCAATTGAGACATTTTTTTCGCATGTCAGAATTGCTGCTTATAATTAACTACACACAACAGTGTTGAAATATGACTGCTTGTGCATATGTGTTGTGAATTATGCAATGGTGGTTTATTCCTTTATTTATAGGGAAGCAAAATAGGACAACGTTTTCAGCATTGCAAAACAACTTTAAACATTGTATTTTTAACACATTTACAGAAATGTTAATAATATAATTGGCACATTTATCTGGCATTCGAATTAATATTGTCGGTTCCAACTGATAAAATATTATAGGGAAACTCACTTAATAACAGTATAACTTTTTACTTTACCATGAAAACCAGTGCAAGGACAAATATCAAATAAAAATGTTGCTATTTACTATGAAATTTTGAACTGTCATCTCTTAAAAAATGCTTGATGGAAACTCACTTCATTTTCTCATTTTCTGCATTTTTGAATGTCATGGGTCTGTATTGTTTACAATTCATATCAAATATATCATAATCAATGTGTCCCATTTCAATTTATTTAGTGTACTGACTCATTATTATGATCATTTTTTCTCAAGATTCATTTAATTTGTTTGCAGGAGAAAAAGTGAGCAAATGTCAGCTATGTGAAGAAATGTTTGAAAATGCAAGTTTACGACGTCAGCATATGAAAGATGCCCATGGTGTTGGCTTCTCATGTATAGTATGTGGAAACATGTATGTGTCACAGTATAAACTCAATTATCACATGCAACATCAGCATGTACAGTCAAAAAAACCACTAACGTTAATTTGTAATGTGTGCAAACAAAAAATGTCTACTACAAACGAACTACAGCAACATTTAATCACATTTCATAATGTAAACCAACCAAAGAATAGTGACGTTGGTGAGACAAGTGAACATGTGATGTCTGAGGGATCTAACTTGGATACAGGTCAGCAGATTATATTGGTAGAAAGTAGTGAGATAGAAAATGCACTACAGTCAAATCATAACATGACAACTGTTGTTTATTTCGGTCCATCTGATGGGGAGTGTGGTAACATAGAGATAATTACAACAACCGAGGATGACATTGCTCAACAGATGAGTAGTGTAGTCATGACAACACTTGATGAGAACATTGAACAGACAAGACAGGTTGAACACTCAATATCAACACTAAACATAAACATGCAGAAACAAAAGGAATTGAATACTGAACATGTAAAAATGACAGAACGTAATCACACTGAAACAGTTGAACAATACCTGAACACATTAAGACCAGCATAAACAATTAAATGTAACAACGCTGCAGCACAGGCACACAGGGATTGGATAGCGAACTTGATAAATGTATGTTTGAATGAAATGAAAAGAAACAAAAGAAATGATACACATCCAATGATTGGCAAGACACTGTTCTATTTGTTACTTTTGACTCCCTTTCGTTCCCATTCTTTGCCTTAATTGGCCGAACAGAAGCATTGAATGATTTGCATATTCATTATTCTGATTGGCTGCATGGAATATACATACGATTGTCGTTCCCAATTCCCAATGCGTTCACAATGCCTTGCTCTAATTATATATTTATCATGTGGTTATTTAATTGCCATTTAACTTCTCCACTTATGAATGAAAGTACTGGTGTTGGCCTGTGCTAATAATATCTGTCTAATCATTTGTAAGAAAGTGCATAAATACCACCATGGTAGTACATAACAAAAGTTTCAGCATGTCAGCTTTCTCAAGTCATGCTTGTGAGGTGTAGACTTTTGATTTTCACTGTAATTCACATCTATTTTTATTTTAGTCTGTGCTTTATAACTTTACATCAGGCAACTATAGTCTTTTCTTTGACATTATGCCTCTTGGAATTCAAATATAATTTTGAACATTAAATGTGCAAGAAGATGACATTTGACATATTCCACAACAACTTCTATCGCACATGTACAAAATTTAGCAAAATTTTTAATTAATTTTGATGGATGAATTTCAAAAACAAAAACATGTCTACACAACACATTAACAGTGGCACATAGTCTAATGGAATTTGAACGAATTATATACATTGTATTTTTGAAAAACTTGTTACAAAACAGCTCGGACAATTTCTGTGTGACTTGTAATCAAGAATATCTTTATTTTCAATCAAAAACAAGTCTAAACTTATCTTTTGTGAATGTATTTGATCAGGGGGGATATATTTAAAAGCAGGTTATGTAAACTACTGGAAAAAGTGTGATCAGACGAAATATCATTCCTTTGATGTTTGTATTTCCTTGTTCTACCATATTAGGCTCACTTTACCAGTATACAAAATTGCCGAAACATTAGTGAGGCCACATTATTTCTGTCACTGATAGAAAGACTGTGGTAAAACGAAGGTTTCAAACTAACTAACGTATGTGATAACTAGAAGTAAAATGTATTTTTTTTGGCCTGGACATAATCTGTCTTCATTCAGAATGGATGATTTTTTCATGGTTTATTTATATACATTTAATATTAGATGCAATTACTGGTACTATTTTCTACAACATATACAGATGTTCAGATAATTTAAACTATGATAATGCAGTAAATTCAGAATTACAAGAAGTGTATGATGCACCAATTTAATTTGAAATCTTCTCTATATTACTACAGTACTACATACTATTGTATTTGCTCTATCAAAAGTGAATCTCCAATAAAAAAGCATTTATTGTATTCTGGAACATATTAAATATTTTGTCTATGGATATACATGTAACTTGGTCTATGTAAGCAGACTTATACTAGTGATAGGTGTGGTATTATCACCTGACAGCCACCATGAAGTACAGACACATAAAGGACGGTGGTTGTCACGTCATGTCCTGTTCAATATGGAACTCATAGTGACGTAGACAATGTGTATAAAATAAATTTACATGTAATTTGAGCACAAGCTGCACGACGACCACCGCCCTATAATTCATCATGGTAGACATTGAATACATGTTACATGGTTAGTCTGAGTCTAGCCATCTGATTGGTTGAAGCAAGGTCTTGTATCTGGCACGTGAAGATCAGTGATTCTGCCCTGAAACTGAATAAACTGACTTAAGGTTGTAACAAGGGAAGTAAAAAAAACGAGTTAAAAAATTGGTTTGTGATTGAGACATTACAAAGTTACTAAGCATGCTGCTATAATAACCTGTACTGTCTCTGGATAAATTCTGACCCCAGACAATTTAATATACTGGTTTGACATAAAACATGTTTAGGAAAGGGATGATGTAATAATAATAATTATCTTTATTGTGTTCGTATCCCTATTAGGATTTTGACTAAAATGCAATACAGATGTGAATAAAGACAAACAAACAATTAAAGTGAGAATAAAAATACACACAGGAAAATAAAAATAAATAAATAAATCAAAGAAAGCTTAGAAAGAACTCCCGTGTGCTGAGAGTTTTGGAGACACATTAAAAATTAATTCAAAATTACTTATACTTGAGATATTGATGGAATAGCTGAAAACTAATTATGCAAATAAGGTAACTAATATGAACAGATTTAAGTGTAAAACTAATAAGGTCTGCACAATGTACCAAGTTTCATTGGAATGTGATTAGAACCAAAAAAATATTAATTATTATGCTAATTAGAGAATTAATATGAACAGATTTTAACCCAAAATTAATCAGGCTGTCTATTGTCCTAGAGCATTTATGTACCAAGTTTTATTCAAATGTGATGATCAATACTTGAGATATTAGTATTAATTAATTATGTTAATTTGGTGATTAAGAAGCATAAATATTTACCAAAAACTAATATGGTGCATAGTCTTAGGTTCATTGAAATGTGATGGGTACTATTTAAAAGTTTCATTGAAATCCAATGAGTGGTTTTTAGACATCAGTGCAACAGCCATAGAACAGCAAAAAAATTAACTAATTATGCAAATTAGGTAATTAATAGGCACAATTTTTTATCTCAAAATTAATCAGGTCTCTGCATAGTCCTAGAATATCTATGTCGCAAGTCTCATTGAAATGTGATGATTAGTACTTGAGATATCAGGTGAAAAGCTGAAAATTAACTAATTATGCT